CCCCCGGGGGCCGGGGGGGGGGGGTGCCGATCTCGGCCGCCTGGAGACCAACCGCAAGAGCGGGAGGGTCTCCAGGTCCCGCCTGGAGGTTGGCAGCCCTGCCGCGCCTGCGTTAAAGGGGACGGCGAGCGAGGCGAGGCGAGGCACGGACCGGGAGGCCGTGAGAGCGGCGATGAGGTCACCGTGATTGAGAATGACATCATCGGCGGCAGGGATGCTCCGGGCAGAGGCGCAGGCGGGTGCCAAGGCAGGGCGCCCGGGGCGTTGGGCACGCAGCGGTCCTGCCGACAGCCACCACCACCCCCCCTCCCCAGGCAGACCCCCGACTCACCACGAGAAGGCTGGCCACGAAGGCGGCGGCGGCGCCCATGGCTGCGGGCGGGCGCTGCGTCTTGGGCGGCGGCGGCGGCTTTGGGGCGCTGCTGCTGGGGCGGCGAGGGGCGCGCCTTGCCCGCCACGGGAGGAGCTGCCCATCTAGCAGCCCCGCTGCCCCATGGAGGAGGAGGAGGAGGAGGGCGGCGAGTTCAGCCGGCGCCACCCGCCCGGGGAGCCGCAGCCGCAGCGGGGGCCGCGGCAGCCTTCCGGCCCCGGGGCGCGCCGAGAGCGCAGCAGCCGGTGGCGGCGGAGGCGGAGGAGGCGTGAGCGGCGCGGCCGGCTGCCCATAGCGCCCGGGCTCTGCTCGTTCCCCGGCCGGCTCCGGAATGGCCAGGCGGGAAGGCGGAGCGGCTGGAGGGAGTGAGGCCGGGGCCGGCCCGTCCTGGGCCTTCCGCGCTCTGCTGCATCGGGGTGCCAGCTCTGGGTCGGGAAATACCTGGAGATTTGGGCGGGAGCGGGGTTTGGGGAGGGGAGCGATTTCCATGGGGTATAATGCCATCGTGCCCCCCCCCCTCCAAAGCAGCCATTTTCTCCAGGGGAACTGATCTCTGCTCTCTGGAGATCAATTGTAACATAAGAGACGCCAATGTTGGATCAGGCCAAAGGCCCATCCAGTCCAACACTCTGTGTCACACAGTGGCCAGAAATACCAGGTGCCATCAGGAGGTCCAGCAGTGGGGCCAGGACATTAGAGGCCCTCCCACTGTTGACCCCCCCCCAAGCACCAAGAAGACAGAGCATCACTCGCCCCATAGCCCCTATCTATACCTTGTGGCTAATAGCCACTGATGGACCTCTGCTCCATATGCTTATCTAAATCCCTTTTGAAGCCGTCCATGCTTGTAGCCGCCACCACTTCCTGTGGCAGTGAATTCCATGTGTTAATCACTCTTCGGGTGAAGAAGTACTTCCTCTTATCCGTTCCGACCGCTCAGCAGTTTCATTGAGTGCCCACGAGTTCTTGTATTGTGAGAAAGGGAGAAAAGTACCTCTTTCTCTACCTGCTCTTTCCCATGCATAATCTTATAAACCTCGATCATGTCACCCCTCAGTCGTCGTTTCTCCAAGCTAAAGAGCCCTAAGCGCCTTAACCTTTCCTCATAGGGAAAGTGTTCCAACCCTTTTATCATTCGAGTTGCCTTTTTCTGCACTTTTTCTAAAGCTATAATATCCTTTTTAAGGTGTGGTGACCAGAACTGCGCACAGAATGAGGTCGCACCATATAGTGGCATTAGGATACTGGCTGATCTGTTTTCAATACCCTGTTTTCAATTCGCTCTGCAGCTTGTCAGGACTGACTCCCGAGGAAACTCTGGACCCTGTGTCAAGCCCGGAGCTGTGGCACATGGAAGCCTCTCAATGAGATTAGTATGTATTTTATTATTTATTTTTATTCATCTTTTTAATAAAAAATTAATATAACATTTGTTTTAAATGTATCTTACTGTATATATTATTGTATATATTATTTTATATATCTTATTGTATATCTTAGTTTTAATAATTATTTTTATTCTTAATAAGATACAAGAAGCGGGACCCACAATACTCACGGGGGGGAGTATTCCTAAAGGCTCCCGGCCCCACACCATTCCCCCCCCGTGGGCACTGGCAGCGAGGCCTGAGCGTCTCCCAGTCGCCAGCCCACCGCAGAGTTCCCAGAGCGTTCTCTGCGCATGCGCAGGGAACGCTCTTACTTTTGGGGGGATTTAAATATCCCCCGTACAGTTTTGAAAACATTTTAGATTTTTCTGCACACCTGGGGACAGCTGCAGGTGTGCAGGAAAATTTCCCTGCCCCCCAAGTGCCCCCCGATGTGCGGATTTAGATATCCACACAGAGGGGGCAACTTGGCTATTAGATATATAGATACAGATAATTACAGGATATAAGTTTGCCAGCTCTGGGGAAATTCCTGGTGATTTGGTGAGGGTGCCTCCGGAGGGATTTCACCCAGCATCTATGGTGCTCCATAGAGTTTGCTCTCCAAAGCAGCCGTTTCTTCCAGGGGAACTGACCTCTGTAATCTGGAGACCAGTTGTAATTCTGGGAGATCTTCAGGACCCACCTGGAGGTTGGAACCGTGTATAAAAGTGAAGGCTCAAAAGAGCATTCAGAAATTCAACCCTTGTAACACTTTTTTCTCTCCCCCTATTTGTGTTTCAAACAAGGCACTCCTATACAGATTTACTTTTGAGCCTATTGAAATCAGTGGGCTCAGCCTGACGGTAACTGTGCATAGTAGGTAGATTCAGGTGGGTAGCCTTGTTGGTTTGAAGCAACAGAACAAAGCTTGAGTCCAGTGGCACCTTTAAGACCAATGGTGCCACTGGACGCAAACTTTGTCCTCTGCATAGCAAGGTTTGCATGTCATGGGATGTCACTTTATGCAACAAAGGATGCATGTGCCCTGGAGAAAAAGGCAATAGATGTGTTACAGCAGAATGCAAGACATTGTTAGCCAATCTGCTTTATCTACAACAGACGGCAAACTAAATTTAATAAGGGTTCCCACCAAAGTTTACGGAGGTTCTGTCCACCCCAAGAATGTCCCAGTGAGAGAGACGAGACTGGTGGATTTCAAAGCAATTTGTCTTTTTACTAAAGTGTATTACATACACACAAAAACAGAATCACACACACATACAATCAAGTTTCCTTAGGATTACAGCAATAGAAAGATAGTTCCCTTTTTCTTAGGAGGGAGGGAGGTATACGTTCATACTTATCTTTCCTGAAGCCTTGTCTGTTGCAATGAAGAATTGAGGGGTAAAGAAAATAGTACCTAGGGATATTTCTAAGTCACACTTGCCAAAACCAGCCAGCAAAGTGTGGACCTCTTTGGCTGCAGTCCAAGAGATCAAGAATAGATAAAAGGGTTGTTTGATAGTAAGCTGGACTTTAGGGGATAAAAGTAGACAGAGGATGATGAAGGGGAATGTGGCTAGCAAAGGACCCTGCACATGGTCCCTAGCTTTTATAGGTGAATATTTGGGGTGGTTGGCATCCTTGCCATCCTGGGATCCACCCACCTGTTGGTCCGTCCCATCCTTACATCTTATTGGTGCGTGTAGTACGGGGCAGAACCTTTAAGGGTTGGGTCAATATTGAAATACTAGATCTAACTCAGGACAAGCCATCTGGTCAGGTGTGAATTCTCAGCGTAAAGACATCTCCTTGAAGTGCAGATAGATACCGGCTTTCCCAGGCAATCAAAGCAACATCTGTCAGGAAATGGCAATTCAGATGTAGACCGGATCCGTGTATTGCATGACATCCAGTCCTTCAGCAATGGGGGATTGCTTGTCTTTTTAAGCTGTGGTTTCTGCTAACAATGGCGAAATGTGCTTCCCTTTCCCTATGGCTAGGAGCTGTATGTGTTTGCTAGCTTCATAGTAAATACCTTCTATCTGAAACCTCTCACAACAGGTGATTCAAGCAGCTTTCCTTTAAGCCTATGGGTATATATGCACAGTTCATGTAAAGTTTGTGTGTGTCCGCAGATATAGATCCATAAACAGCAAATATTAGTCTCTTTCTCAACAACATGTTCACACACACTGCAATCCTGTACAGCGGGGGTCAGGTCACACAAGAAGGTGCATAATGCAAAATCAGTTAATTGCAAAGGAATGCAGACACGAGAGTCTAATCTAATAGCCTACGCTAAATGTTGTCTGCTTTTTTTAAACAATAAATATGTCTTTTTGTTTTTGTATTATGAAATATTCATAAGTATTCTACTATCCAATTTTCTATTGTTTCACAATGAAAAAAAATTACAGTAACATAAACCAATCGCCAGATGGAAAGCTCATGAATTGTAAGACTTGGATGTGTATTTACAAAGTCACTGAAGTGAAAAAGGTCATTTTAAACAATGGTACCAATAAAGATATAGACCTTGAACTGTACCAATATTTTCAAAAGCCCTGGAACATCCACTAAATGCCATATGTCAACATAGGTGTGGCAGTCCTTGAACCAGGGGTGTCGAACTCATTTGTTATGAGGGCCGGATCTGACATAAATGAGACCTTGTTGGGCTGGGCCACGTGTGCCATAGAATGTAATCCAAAAAAAGAGGGGAGAAAATCTAAACCAACGAAGCACAAACTTCCAAAGGAAGTTTAGAAAACATAAGTAAGTGTACTTGGAGCTGCGGTGGCTCAAGTGGTTAAGACGCTGAACTGCAGGCTGTGGAAGGTCGGGAGTTCAGCAGTTCGAGACCTGAGTGTGCCGCATGATGGAGAGAGCTCCCGTCTCTAGTTCCAGCTCCTGCCAACCTAGCAGTTCGAAAGCAAGAAATTGCAAGTAGATAAATAGGTGAGAGCTTTTTTAAAATGTTGCACGTTTGAACCTCTCTCTCGCATTGTCACCCATCTCTGTTCTTGAATTACCTTGTATTTGTTTTTATGGTTCCAAACTGGTTTCTACGTCCCCTCAATGGCTTTATCACTTTGTTTGTAATTTGTTTGTTGGAATATTTGGAAATAATATATATTCCTGCCAACCTAGCAGTTCGAAAGCAAGAAATTGCAAGTAGATAAATAGGTACCACTTCGGTGGGAAGGTAACAGCATTCCGTGTGCCTTGGTGTTTAGTCATGCCGGCCACATGACCACGGAAACGTCTTCGGACAGCGCTGGCTCTTCGGCTTTGAAACGGAGATTAGCACCGCAACCCTAGAGTCGGATTCGACTGGCTTTCGAGCAAGGGAACCTTTACCTTTACTTTAAGTGTACAAAAGAAGTTAAAGACATAATTAAGTGTACAAAAGAATGTAATGCCAGGTGGCGGAGATATAAACTTTATAAAGGACACAAACACAAAAGGGTTTTTTTTACTGAAAATAAAAACATGCTTGAAACATTAGCATTCTTGCAATATTTTGTTTATTTAACAGTGTTTGATAACTGACACCTCTTGCTCTGAATTATTGCATCAAAATGTCTGTGCTGTTGCAATCTTGAGTATGCTGTTCAGGTGTGTGTATCTGTAAGCTGCAAACCTACGATGACGCAGCAGCAGCAGAACTGAAAGAAGGAGGAGAAGGAGATTGGATTTATACCCCGCACCTGGCTGGATGACCTTGGGCAAGACGTAGTTCTGATAAGAGCGAGCCCCAAGCAGCCTCCTATGGAACTCGGCCTGGGCTCCTGTACTCCAGTGGGGAGCAAGTCCCACGGAAGTCGGTGGGGCTGAGCTCTTGGTTAAGGAGGCGTTGGGCTGTTCGGTCCGGGGGAGCTGATGCTTTG